TGCTTAAACCCTTCATTTTGGGTTAAAAATATAGTAACTAAATTTGGTACTTCCAACTTCTACCGAAACCTAAAATTTTTTTAAGAAATAGGTGAAAAAATCAGTTTTTTGCAAATTGACGGTATTTTTCAGTTTTTCCAATACAGCTTTGAAACTAATGATTTTTTTAAAAACATGACCAACATAAAAATGTTTCTACAATTTACAAAAAAGAACAATGTAATAGCTCTAATAGTTTCGGAGATACAGTATCTCAAAGTTGACCCTTTTGAAAGTTTACAATTATTACCATTGCATTCCCTTTTGAGATTTTACATACAATCTCATTTATTACCATTGCATGTAAAATCTCATATTGGTCAATTTTGAGACATGGGTTTTTTGCGGTAGCTATATCTCGGTCAATTTTTAAGATACAATGTTCAATTTTTTATCAAATTACTCAAGTAACAGTTGGCAAACATGAAGTTAGAGAATTGTTTCCAACTTCGTGTCGTATTAGTTTGCTACGTAGATAAAATCTATTGAAAAATTGACAGGAATTCTATGACAAAGGTCTTATCTAGTGGGGTTATGTTTATATTCTCTTTGAAATTACGATCTTGCAGTTCAAGTTTTGAAGAAACTGCCAACGCTATTTTATTTTAGACATTATTTAGAACAAATTTCACTAAAAATATGTAAGTTTTTAACCCTAAATAGCGATTAGCGTTATTTATAAACCCACTATACAGGATCCTTTTCCTGTCCTTGACACTCAGTATGATTTTACTCACGGTTGCAAAATTGACCCTGCTTATGTCAACTTAAATTTACAAACTAGAGTAATGTTACTACGACTTTAAATGTACATTTCTGAAACCATTTTCGTATATATCTTCGTTTATAATATTTGGATAGTTATTTTGAAGATGTTTTGGCAGTCACATGTTAGCATTATTTTCAAAATATCTCTACCCACACAGCACCCAAAATTCCCTGGAACTTGACAGAACCTCACACGTCGAGGTTAGGAAACTTCAGTGACAAGGTTCATACAAGTTTGTGTCGATGTTTAAATGTCCACATGAAATGAATATTTACACGAAACTTTGAGGAAATATTAGACTATAAATATTCACGTGCAATGTTCAGTCAATGTTGTGTCAATATTGACATTACATTTTCGCCTAGTTATAAAAATTTCGTTTACTAATATATTGAGTATAGATGAATATTTACACAACATTGACTGAACATTGCACGTGAATATTTATAGTGTAATATTTTTCTTCAAAGTTTCGTGTAAATATTCATTTCATGTGGACATTTAAACATCGACACAAACTTGTATCAACCTTGCCACTAAAGTTTCCTAACCTCGCTGTGTGAGGTTTTGACAAAGTTTCAGGGAATTTTGGGTGCTGTGTGGGTAAATTGGTCAATATGCTAAAATTTTCCTTTCGTTATTTTTATTTAAAAATTTTTCTAACTAAATTTGAGGTCATTAAATTAAGTATTCAAGATCACTTTATTATATTTATTTAATTCTAAAGAATTAATATTTGAGACTCAAAGCAAGTTATTGAGTATGTTGACAGCAGCAGAAATTTTAAATATACATAATCCTACAGTCTGTGGCCTCTGTACTAACTTGAGTTGAATACTTTGGTTTTGGTTATATGGGAGAAAAACTTGAAGCAAAAGTGGGGACCCAGATTCAAAGCAACTTTCACTGTTGAGAGTGTGAAAAACCTCGAAACTTGGTCATGAGGTGCAATATAAATATATACAGAATGACTTTCGTTTGAATTGTTTCGTTTTAGAGCTTCCTCATTATATTAATTACATTGGTCACAGTAGACTTTTCGACGTTATAACAAAAATGTGAAAAATAAGAATAAAAGTGTATTAAATTCAGGTAAACGAAATGGAAATGACACAAAAAAATTCAGTTTGTATTGTGTCGTGTCCTGGCACGAACATGTTAGCCATGATTCATCGTTCATGTGTCTAGGCCTGAACATATTTCCCATGTGGATTCGTTTCCGTGTCGATCACGTGTCTTTTAAAAGAAGCCTAAAATTAATATTTTTTAAATATTCTTTGAATGTATGTAAATTTGAATTAAATGTTTTGTTATTTAAAATAAATTATTGAAAAAAATGGTTAAATATCACTATGTTTTTTCCTATGAAATCTATTTCAAAATGACAGTAGTGGGATTACAAATAGCTCTAGTCGCTATGTAGCGCTTTTCGCTATTTAGGGTTAAAAACTTACATATTTTTAGTGAAATTTGTTCTAAATGATGTCTGAAATAAAATAGCGTTGACAGTTTCTTCAAAACTTATACTGCAAGATCGTAATTCCAAAGAGAATATAAACATAACCCCACTAGATAAGACCTTTGTCATAGAATTCATGTCAATTTCATAAAAGATTTTATCTACGTAGCAAACTAATACTACACGAAGTTGAAAACAATTTTCTAACTTTATGTTTGCCAACTGTTACTTTGCAATAAAATAATTTACAAAAAATTATTTGATTAAACATTTTGATTATTTGAATAAATTTAATCTAAATCCGTAATTTTTAACTTCACACTTTAAGCTTCAAAAAGTACTCATAATATAATTTCTATCTTTGAATTTTACCAGCGAAACAATTGTGCTAACCTAAATCTGTGAAACTGATTCCTTTTTTTTTAATCACTCAGGAACTAAAATTTTTTTTTTAAGTGAATGTAGCTTTAATTCGCTACGTAGCGAAATCTTCGTAGCGCTGTTGCTATTCGTAATCCCACTCCAAATCCAATGTGTTCACCAAAATTTTTCAAAATCAAATTTTCTTGAAACATATTACTTACTAGGAGATATTGGAGCAGCTGAGTCTAAATATAATGTCAAAATTTGTTATAATTATTATTTTTGAGCGGAACTTTCATTTGTTCGAAATTTAAAATGGCAAAAATTCTTTAAAATGCCTATATGATTAATGAAAATTTGAGCAAATAAAAATTCGAATTCTGTAATATAGGAAATCTTTTTGACGAAAATTCTGTAAAATACTAATTCGGACAAATAAAAATTCGGCTTAAAAATAATTTTGACAAATGACATTCCATAAAATGAAAATTCTAACTAATGATTTTTAGAAGATAATATGCGTCCCTATTAAATTAGGTTTCAGTGACTCCAAAAACTCGTGGGTAAACATTTTTAGAAAAATATATCAATTTTCAAAAACTTTATTTGTCATATTAAACCTGTCATTTTAAATGTTTCAACTCGAAATAGATCAATTAAACTATTCGGTTAAGGGGGGATACTCGTGTAAATGCACGTTCTTTTAGGAATTTAAAAAAAAACTGGTAAAGTTTATTGAATTAAAGTAAAGCATACCTTAAAGTTCATAATATAAGCTTTATAAAAAAATTTTTTTATTAAAAAATATTACAAAATGGCGGCGTTACAGGCGTTTTAAGTTGAATCTTTGATTTGATTAAAAATCTTTGATTAAAAATCAAAATTTTTACCGTTAAGATACGCAAGTACGCTTTGATGACGAAGACAAAACTAAAAAATTTTTTTTTGAAAATTTGGGACCATTTTTAAAAAAATCAATTTTTTTTATAAACAATGTTCAAAAACAATTGTTAAAAATATTTTTTTAAAAGTAAGGTAGCTCGTCATGCAATAGCCAGTACGATAAAGAAGATTTGTGGTAAGTTTGATTAAAATGGGTTAAAAATTGGCAGAGTTACATTGCACGGCGCGCGAAAAAACGCGTATAAAGTTTTCGATACATTAAAGTAGTGTTTTAACAATTGCCTTGAAGACGTTTTGTATTTGAAAATAACTATTGCACTAAAACAAAGATTTACTATCACTTGCTTATGGTGCTTGCTAATGACACACTGAAAAAAAAGTCTGGTTAAAATAACTAGAATTCTGGTTAATCTAACCAGAATAAAAAGTTATATATACCCTTACTACTTTTTCTGGTTAAAAGTACTAGAAAATTTGGTTGAAAAATTCTGGTTAAAATTCTGGTTAATTTAACCAGAATTTCAAGTTAATTCTACTAGAATTTTTCTAGTTAAAAATTTCTGGAAAAAAAATTTCTGGTTGATCTTACCAGAAATTCTAGTTAATCTGAGAATTAATTAAATTTATTATTATTATATTATAAAATATTATAAAATATGTATTAAAAAAATTTGTATTATGTACATATAAATGCAATCAAATAATAACACCTTTACACTGAAATTCTCTTAATAATGTTTATTTAAATATGATTATTCAGAACTAAAATTCTGATAAAACGTGTCGAGCACGTTTTCAACATAACCTTCAAACTATTTTCCACATGAACGGGTTTGCCGTTCGTCAACAATTTTTTCACTTATATTATAAAATTAATTAACCTACCTTTAAACAGATCTTTTAATTCTCCCAAACCCCAATTTTCCAGAGCTTGGTTAACTTTTTCATCCATTCTTGCGATCCGCACGATAAACTATTCGAAAAAGAACATCAGACGCTATGCAGTGTCCGCGAACGCGCGTTTTTAACCAGAATAATTTAACCATACTTATTTAACTAGAACTGTTTAGTATTTTTAACTATATTTTCTTGTTAAAATAACTAAAAAATTTTAAACCAGACGCATCTAGTAACTTTAACCAGAACTTTTTTTTCAGTGCAATTAATTAAATTAGATCTCGTGCTCATAGTTTACTGCATTTGGTAGCATCTGAAGTGCTAAACTTATGTTTACTGTAGACATTTGTACATCTAATTATAGATAAGTAATGTAGGATCATATTCTACAGATAGTAAACTAATTTTTAATGTAAAAAAAATTAAAAAAAAAAATTTTTTTACACGAGTTTCCCCCCTTAAGTAAAATAAACCTTTTTCCTAAGTACGAATATATAATTGCAAATAAAAACATGCGTCTCACAGTTTAATGATATAAGGACTTTTAAATTGTATGGTTTTTGTTTGCAGGTGACACCAAGACCACTCTGTTGTCCGGAAGTATGTTAAATGTGACATGGCATCTTGCATACCCACATAAAGTGAGTATATACAATTCTCAGCACTTTTTTATTTCGTTACTTTGGAAGTTAGAAATAACATTTTTGCAATATTTATCAAATTTTTATTTAGTCGAAATTCATTAAGTAAAATTAATATTGAATCAACTTTTTACACTGTAGAACCTTTGTTTTAAAAAAGACTAGAAATTCACTTTTACCAAAATAGCATATCTGGCCACAACAATGAGTCAATATTGCATGGCAATAATAAGGTATTATTCGACTAATAAATATAAATTATAAATTTTATATAACAGTGAGGACTCAGTTGTATAGAACATTTGTTACAAGCTGGATATGAATCTGTTATATAACCTCATTGTAACAGAATTCTATAACATTGTTACAAGGGAGTTACAGATCTGTTCTATATTGTGCGAACTTTACAGTTCTGTAACAATGTAATGTAACATTTCTGTAACACAATCATCACAAATGATCCGTAACTGACGTTCCAACGTAGTTCTAGAACTGTGTCCGAAAAATGTTATGTAGCTGTTCTAAAATTTGTTGCAGATTAGTTCTGGATGACATTTGTACCTACAAATCGGAACAATTCTGCAATAGTGTTACATAACATTTCTATAACACCATATGCACAAATTTGCTGTAACTAATGTTCCATCGCATATCTAGAACTATATCGGAACAATGATATGTAACTGTTCTAAAATTTTTATGAAGTTCAGTTCTGGAATATATTTGTACCTTAGATTAAGAATTTTGAAGAGTTCATAAGTACCTTAACTATTTTCTATGGAATTAATAAATAAATAGTTCATTTTACTTAATTATGTAGTTAAATTTAAAAAACTCTAAAATTTTTATATATCACATAGTTTTGTTGTTTTATCTTTATATAATCAATACAGTTTTTAAATCCTCCTCAGTCGCAAGTTATCAAATCAATTTTAGGGTTGCGTAATGGTTAGCGTATTAGCCTGTGGAGCGATATTGCTATAGAACAGTTGAAATTTGACACTGTTTTAACTATGTTAATTTTAGAGTTTCCTTTTTCTATATTACATCAAGATAATGGTTATGTATCATTTTATAGTTGTTACAAAACAGTTCTAGAACTGTTAAAATTACATTTGTAACCATATTCTAGATCTGTTACAGAGTCTTACATATCCGCTGAGTACGACATTTTGCGTAACCAGTGACCCACAGGTTCTTAACCAGTTACAGAACATGTTCTCAAAAAATTTGTAACAGTTCTATAACTGACCTGTAACAGTGTTTGCTGGGAGTGTATCATAAATTTTAAATTTACAATTTATATTTAACTTTATAGTTAAAGTGTATTATATATTTACTATCCATTTTTATATATTGATTTGTAAAATTCATTTATATTCAATAGTTGATATTATCTCACTTTTTCCATAAAATTATAAGGGAATATTGACATTTAATATTGCCTAACCATTGCATAGGTAATCTTCTCTCAAGACGGACATAATCAATGTTGCAACAGTATTAACTAAACATTGCTAGTTAATGATAGCAATATCGCTACAAAATATTCATGCATTATTGTGGCCGGATGAGCTATTTATGGGTATCGAAATTTGTATAGTAGATTTTTAATCTTCATTTAATTTGTATTTAACCGAATCTATTTAACGAATTTTTTGTTCAATCAAATATATAAACCCGTACTTTTACTAATCAGAATTCTTACGTAACTGAATTTTATTTATCAACATTTGCATTTTACAAAATTATAACATATAAAATTTTTAAAAGTTATTATTATTATTACTATTATTATTAGAAATATAAGAATTATTATATTTTTCTGTAGCATTATTTACCTGGGATCTAATTTTATTTCTTAAGAAAATCTTTTTTTTTTTGTTTATTCAATTAAACTTAAGAATTTTCCACCTTTATCCTCCAGACACTTAAAATATAAAACACTTTCATAATCCAAAGCAGAGTTTTTAATTAAAATGACGCCTTCTCTAATGATTAAAATCATAACTTTAAATAATGATATGGCCAGATAAAAATTTAAAAAAACGGCCAGTGAATTTATTTTATTAATGATCCCTCGTGTTTTGTTTAATAAGAAATTTATTAATCTTAAAAGAAAGTTATATTGAAAGGCGACCATAAACTTACCATGGAGATGATTCGGGGAGATTCCAGGTCATAACGGTGCTGTTGGGCGGTGCGGTATTTCGTTAGGTTTAATAGGCGAGAAACTCACCGACTTAAAGAAATTGTCATGTGTCGGTCAATCAGAATATTTCCGGCAACTATGGTAATTTAAAATATAGTTGCCACAATCTTCACAGTAGAATGCGCTTAGCAGGTGGTATAAATTCTTAAGATGATATTTTTTAAGAAACCCGTTCTATAAATGTTTCCTATCAGGATGGTCACAGTGTTATAGAACATGTGCTAAAATCTAGTTAAGGGGTTAGTACCACATCTTTTTTCAGAAAAATCGATTTTCTAAAAACTGCATATATTCTTGTAGTAGATATATGCAGAAATACTATGGAAAGTATTATTTTGTTTAGAAACTTCAGTTACATATCAAAAAACGGGGTACAATGTAAAAGTCACAAAATTTCTCTTTAAACAAATTTTTATTGTATAGAATTATTATAACGCCGAATTTTTATTTGTCCGAAATTGCAAAAGGGCGAACAAACATAATCAACAGAAAGATTTCGGCGCATTTTTTAAAACTGACCAATCACGATTTTCTTGACAATTTCTGATTGGTCAGTTTTAAAACATGCGCCGAAATCCTTCTGTTAATTGTTTGTTCGGCCATTTGTAATTTCGGACAAATAAAAATTCGTCGTTTTAAGAATTCTGTACAATAAAAATTCATTTAGAAAAAAATTCGGTTAAAGGCTAATTCGAAAAATAGAAATTCGTCTAAAAAATAAATATATCTAATAAAATTCTTTCAAATTAAAATTCTAACTAATGATTTATATGAGATAATAATGCGCCCCATATATATACCTATACACTTCGACCCGAGTTCAGCGAAATCTCGGAATCGGCAACAATAGAATGGTAATTAAGCGGTAAGCGTAAGATGCTCCGACTCGAGCAGGAGCGTAGAAGTAAGGCAAGGCGGTTCCTTCTAGTTGAAAATAAGTTTTGTTTTTACTCCCAGCAAATTTATAAATTTACTTTATGAAAATCTTAATTTTAATATTTGCTCTCAATGTTATATTTGATGAAATTTATATTATTTAATTTCAAATAAATTTAAAATTTATAAGGCAAATGGTGAGTTTTTCCCCTTTCTTGTCTGATGTCAGTACAATTATTTGAATTTTTATTAAAGGTAATTTTAAGTATTACTTATTACTGTTTATAATTATAATAAAATCTAAAAATTAAAATATAATTATAATAATTATTGCAATAAAAATATTATGTATTATAAGATGAAGAATTTTGAAGAAAAGAGTTTAAGGATTTCGTATTTCAAGTAGTTCGTACGGCCCTGATTGCTGACGTCGATTTCGGGAAATCTCATTACTGAGTTTAGCGAACGACCCACCAAACCTGCGCCGCTAAACTCAGGTCGCAGTGTATAAAAAAAAAAAATATATATATATATATATATATATATATATATATATATAAAAGTACACATATATGTATATAAATATGTATATAAAAGCTAATATACATACATAATTGAGCTTATTATGGGAATCCACATTTGCAATCTTGCCAAAATGCTCCCCCACATAAACGTGACCCGTCCTTAGTCTGGTGACCAGGTTAATCTCCCTCCCTTCCAGGTCGTAACCCGCAAAGCACGGTTTTTCCGTTTTCACGGTGACATAATTGAAATATTTATTCTTGACTCTAAATAAGTCTCTAAATGACTTTGACATATTTTACAGCGTGATATATTGCTGTGATCTCAGTGACCTGCGACGTAGAGCAGCCAAGCAATCTCGTTCCCTGACGGAAATTCCTACATAGAACGAAGAAACTAGCGCTTGCTTTATTCCTCGTCTTAGAGTACGAGCCATCCGTTACTTATATAGTCAACAAATTTGGTTTCAGCTTCTTGTTCTACTCTAACATCAAACCCTACGTCTGTATTACAAATGTCACTGAGCTGAAAGCTCAGCTCAGACCAGTCTCTATCGAAGTATGCTGGGCGTTGCGGTCTCGACTTTCCTCCCAGAGCCGTTCCTAAAGGGTCCATGTACTGTACAGGAGCAAATCTCTTGATGTTTTTTTTGTGGATTTCTTAGACTACAGTTCTTTTCCACCAGACCCTTTAATCTGGGGACAATAGTGTTGTCCGACCAGCTTGCCATACGTATGATGTTTTTATTGAACAGATTCTATGTTAAGCTAATGTCGAAGTTGTGATTTGTGGAAATGACTACCACACACTCTATACGCCACTTGTCTGAATTACTGTCGTGCGCGCATCATTCGACGCAGAGCGGGAATGTTCAAATGTGATTTCAAATATTGTGTGAAAGATGTAATACTTTTTTTAATACACAAAATTTTAAAAAAATAATATAATTAAATAATTAAAAAAAATGAAAAAATATTTATAATATTAATTTAATATAATATTAATACTAATTTTTATAAATAATTTTATTCAAAAATTATTTTAAAAAATTTGCTCTAAATTATTTATAATGAAATTCTAAAATCATTATGTTTTTAGTTTGTTTTATATCACATGATAAATAAAAATACATGGGAGAGATGGCCGACTCAAATATTTTACAGAATTTGTTACTAAATGTCACTTATTATTGATATACTAACTTCATTAATGATAGAACGTAGGTAAATAACAAAAGCTTACAGTAAGTTTAAGGTAAACTAAAAATGTCTGCCATACCGTATCCTTACATAATAAGGCTACAGTAACCTTACAAGGTTAGTCCACTATTTGTTATATAACAAGATGTCTTCTAATTTAATTATAATTAAAGATAAATAACAAAAGGATT